CAGGAGACTCGCTTGAGCCCAGGAGTTGGAGGTTGCTGTGAGCGTGATGCCATGGCACTCTACCCAGAGGGATAGTTTGAGGCTCCGTCTCATAAAAAAAAAAGAAAAAACAACAAACCTCATAACCTGCTTCAGTCATAAGGTGGGGACTGCCTATATGAATACATTAGAGAAATAAAAGGATTGGGGATAGGGACACTTTCTCCCAGTTCTTCCTCCTACCTAATGTAGGTCAATTAAAAAATATGGAGAGGGGCTGGGACACTCCCATCTGTAATTTTAGCACTTTGGGAGGCCAAGGTAGGTGGATCACCTGAGCTCACAAGTTCGAGACCACCCTGAGCAAGAGCAAGACCCCATCTCTACTAAAAATAGAAAAATTAGCTGGGGCATTGTGGTGGGCAACTGTAGTCCCAGATACTTGGAAGGCTGAGGCAAGAGGATCACTTGAGCCCAAGAGTTTGAGGCTGCTGTGAGCTATGATGACTCCATGGTACTCTACCCAGGGGGACAGAGTGAGACTTGTCTCTAAATAAATAAATAGGAAAAATACAGAGGAAACAATTTATAGGGGGTTCAGAGTTCAAAGAAAGAAGTGGTAGTACCTACACACCCCTGGAGGCAGGACCATGGCCATCCTATGACTATGCTCCCGTCTGTTCCTTGCAGTTGCTGGCAGGCTCTTTGCTGTCCTACAGCCCTCAGGGTGGCCACAGCAGAACTGGGCCTTAGCTGCCATTGGCTCACCCACTTCTAAGGTTACCTCATCAAAAATCTGGGGCTCTCAGCCAGGCACGGTGGCACATGCCTGTAGTCCCAGCTACTTGGGAGACTGAGGAGGATGGCTTGAGCCCAGGAGTTTAAGGCTGCAGTGAGCTATGATGTTGCCATAGCACTCTACCTGGGCAACAGAGTGAGACCCTGTCTCTTAATAAAAAGAAAAGAAAAGAAAAATTAAGAAAATCTGGGTCTCACTGTCCATGCCATACGTACCTCTGTCTTTCCTAGAACAGCTAAATGCAACAACAGCATAACCAGTTTGTTTTTGAGGTCAGCAGTGACCAATCCAAAGTTACTTTTATTTCCTTAAGCAGTTCTTGCAGGACATAAACATGCTGACACCCTCTCCCTTCCTCATCACCTGGGGCAAAATAATCACAGATGAGAGGGGCTGCATTTAGCCCGTTGTGTCTGTAGGGGTGGTCAGGGTGTGGCAGCTGGGAAGACCAGCACCGCACAGCAGACCTGTCCCTGCCCACAGCTCCTAAGGTTCACAGATGGGTAGATATGAGCTCAGAATTGCCTGTGATTCTAGCATGGGCTCTTCATCTCTAGACAGCATCAGCCCCACCCGCCTCACTTCCATGCAGCTGAGGCATCCTGCGCTAAAAGATATATGTACAGCAAAACAAAAATAGAAAACCAGCACCGCAGAGTGGAGGTGGGGCATAAATATACCAAGATCCCTGCTGAATTGGTTACTTGGAGTGAGCATTAGATGGAGACAGAAGCTTCCAGAAGCCAAGAGAGATACAATGACAA